TATAAAGCAGAAATGAAATAAATCGAAAATTTCATTTTTTAAAAAAATCGGGCGATACTTTTTGGGGGTACTGTACATGTTCAATGGGGGGACAGCATAAGATATCCACTTTTAGATGGCATTATACATGTACATGTATGAGTTGTATGGTAATTTCCATAAGCGAAAATTATTTGGTTAAAGAATCACTAAAAAAGAAATCTATTCTCAAAGATCCTATCCTACTACATGTACTACCGCTACGATCAAACGATGTACATAACAATATAACGTATCAAGTGTTATAAATTAAAAAGGAAAGATAATATAATCTATCGCTAACAAAATGATAGCGATAGCTTTTTGATTAAGCTATGATTTGGTTAAATTTTTTTAATTTCCTTTTTCTTTCTTGAGATATAAATTTGTGAAATTACAATTTTGGCGTTTACTAATATTATATTATTTAAATAGAGTTCTGATTGGTCAGATTGATTATTATGTATAAGATCTACAATTCAAAATTGGCGTCATGTATGATATCGATATCTTATCGTTATCGTTATCGTTACGTATGTTGTCCCTCCTGAAAGTCTGGATTTATTTGGAAAATGCATAAATTTCTGATGCACATTTCATGATAAAAAAACGGAAGATTCTGAATAGCGTTTTATGCATGAATCGTTTCTCTTTAGAGTCAACTCAATTAAAACAAAACCAAAGTCGAAATCGAAAAGAAAATGAGTTTAAAGGCGAAAATAATTATTTTTGTATTGTTATTGCCAATGGCGAAGATGATAATATTGGATGCTGATGCAAATACGTAATGTCTTTCAAAATGTGTATGATTGACTTGTGGATATATTTTTGTAATTAATATAATGCGAAAATTTCAATAATCGTATATCTTATTCTTTGTATAGAAATGTTAAGAGAGCAGATGATTCAGAAACTAGCATACAATCAAGTTATGTAGTGCAAACAACAATGCCAAAAACACTGCCAACTATAATCCCGTCGAAGCAAAATACTGGACCTTCAACTAGTAACGCTAATGAACAACATACGACGACAGGAACTATTATTAATTCATCAAGGTAATTATGTCTTATACAGAAAAGTGGTTGATTATTTCTCAATAACATTAACTCATTGACTAATACTAATTGATTTACTTTGTACATGTAATAGCATTATCTCAACAGCATCCACATCATCCACATCATCAATTTCGAATCAACCAACTGAAGACTTGGGATCAACAACCTATGAAACCGTAGTCACTTTTACCACTGGAGATTCTTCGACTCCTTCAAATAGTGATTTTACACCATCTATTCCAAATAAAGCTGGCTCTGAATTGAAAATATTTTGGAGTGCAATGTGCTTTTTAGCACTATTTGGGATTTTTGGTGGTATTAATTTAATATATTGATAATAAAGAGCTATCAACCAAATCAATTTGAATATGATATAAAGTTCTAAAAATATTTTTCAGTGGAGATTAAATTTGGTGACAAAGAATTTTCTGTTGATTTTATCATAAATTGTTGATTTTTAAGAATTTTCATCTGAATTTTTTGTTAAGTTTATTTGAAATTTTTAAGTTTCGTTTACTATTCGCTGTAAGGTTTATGGAATTTTGGCCTTTATAAAGATACTATATGTAGTCAGAACTCGTTATAGGAGCATTCGATTTAACGTTAATGAAATTTGTATTAACGATATTATCCTTCCTAGCATAATCTCTTGTTAATTTTAATTCCCCCTTATAGAACATGTATCCCAAAACGACTCAGCGAGTTGCTTTTTCATATCGATATTTTCTAGCAAAATACAGAATTTAACGTTAAGGTTAAAAAGATATCCAATAGCAAATCTATTTACAGCGATAGTGAAAAGTTTGAAAAATACACACTTTTACGATACCTGGATGTATAACATAAACATGAAACGATTACACTTTCAAATTAACGTTAAATCTAAAAATCTGAAAAAATTACGTATACAGATGATAAAAAATTATTTATTAATCAAGTTGAAAAGTTCAAAATAATGGGGGGGGGGACTGTCAGTAAAAACCAAGCAAATTATATATTAATATATAATTTGCTTGGTTTTACTGACAGTTCCCCCCCCCCCCCAATTATTCAAAAATAGTAAGGTACTGATTTTTTTAAATGATGCTAATGGATAAAGAAAAAATGGAACTCGTATCGGTATTTTCTGATTATGCTTTGGTACAGAGGCCTCCCAGAATATTGTGAACACTTTTTAAAATACAATAATACAAAACCAAAAAAAAAGCAAGATTTATGATTCTAAGCTAATAGAATCATTGAAACATATATTTTTCATTTAGTGATCTTTAATATTGAAAGGAATGATTTTTTTATTTCTTGTATATATTTTTAAGTTATTTAACTTTAATTTATAATAACTAAAAGATTTACAAATTCAATTTCATTATTTTGTGTTGTATGAAATATTTCATGAAAAAATAATTTATTTCATCAAATATTTCTATAAGTTTGTAAATCAACTTTCAAAGTATTTTTTTTACAAAAATTATTGTATAACTTTTACAAATAAAAATATTAACTTTACAAACTTATTAAAAATAAATTAAAATATATACATTCAGATTGTACTGAAGATATTTTTATAATTAATTCTTCATTATTACTTGAATTTACACTATATTTTATTTTACATATTTGATTTTAAAAATTTTAAGAGCCTCATCAAAGACAAAAAAATGTTCTAATTAAGTTAAATTAATTGAACAAATATAATGAGATAATAATTAAATATAAAATCTAACATATTGATTATGTACCACCTGATTTTTTTGGACCTACCCAAATTTAACTCTTTATGTATACCGTATATTACTGTATAGAATACCCGAGTATAAATCAATTTTGACTGGCGAAAACTCTTGTGTACATAATCTATATCTCAACTTCAACCATAATTATTATTAAATATAATCTTATAAAGAATGTTGATTTGTCTTAAAATGTTATGTTAAGCTAGTTTTACTGAATTTGTCTCATCTTTCAGGGTATTCTGGGGAGGGTACTTTATTAGGGGGATACACTATTAGGGGGGGGGGGTATTCTATACGGTATTTAAAATATGTATTAGTCAATTACATACATTATCATAGAGAGACACATAAATATTCATTCATATGTGTGGGTGCGAATGTAGTGTCTTTAATTATATAGTTGTTTCAGAAGAATATACTTATTTTCGTTTTACATGTATTATCGTTATGGAAAGTTGCGTAACATCAGTTTTTAATTCCTGTAGTCAATTCCTTATAAAAAAAATAATTAAAATAAAAATCTGAGTGTTTATGATAAAAATTACATGATTGCTATTTATCATCATATTATTAAATTTCCTTGCAATTATAAAAAAATAATACAGAATTCTTTCTTACATACTGTATATACATGAAATGTTTGTTTAATAGAAAACCTATCTTCATTTCAATTAATAAGAGACTTATTTCCTCATGAGCATTGGTTGGTGTTCACGTAAACTTTCGGCTACTTGAGTGAAATACTTAGCGAGATCGATTTCATTCATTGCAAGGGCATATTGACATTTTAAGACATCCTTGCTAGTAGATTGAGGAAGATATTCTGTTGCAATGTCCGCCATTTTTTGAAGTGACTCGCCCAAACTAACACAAGAATTGTCCCCAACACGATAATTGCCCCAAGTAGCATGAGGATTGCCCAAACTAGCACGAAAAGCTTTAAATGGAGGCCTAATAAAGTAAACATTGTTAGAAACCTGTTTCATTTTGAGATTACAAAAAATATACAATCAAAACTGAATATAACGATGATGGATCGCCCAAACTCAAAAGCTCGTTATAATGAGTGCTCTATAGAAAATTATTATAAACTATTGTAATCGGGAATTGCAAAAGTTTGCAATAATCAAACCAGGAGATCGTTATATCCAGGTTTAATAGCGTATACAAGTATTTACCCTTTGTCGATCTCACTTTTATTAACATGGAACAGAACGGTATATAAATACAATGGAGTTCTAATAAAGTAAATATTGTTAGGAAATCTGTTTCATTTTGAGATCACGAACAATATAAATGTAGCATGTATTTACCCTTTGTCAATCTCTCTTTGGCAAAGGTTTCGTAATTCTGGTTCCGGCGTATTACACATACCATCAGACAGAAACATAATCACATTGGTTCTAAGTAAATCAAATTTTTAGTCAGAGTATTTACATGTATCATGATAATAAGCGTTAATAAAGAACTTGCCTTTTTGAATTTTCAATTATTTCAGCTGCTTTTTTTATTCCTTTATAATAAGAAGTACCTCCACATGGGTTGGATTCCATCATTTTGTTTAAAAGCTCTTCTGTATTAGATAGGCTTTGATTTTCAAAAGCTACAGTTGTCACATCATTAAACAAGATCAGCGAAGTTATGTCACGATCTGCGGTTGAGCGTCCAACACGGGTAGCTTTTCCAGAGTTTTTACGCGTTTTAATAAAAGTGTATACTGCTTCATAGACAGCGCCTAATCGATTGTTATGACGAGATTTTATTGTCCATCGACGAGGTTTACAGTCACTTGAACCCATAGAGCCACTTCTATCCACAACGAATACAATGTGAAAATTAGTCTCGGGGTTTTGCAAGAAAAATGGTGACCGTCTGTTGAAATATATCCAATATTTTCTGGAGAATTTGAACTTGAATTTAATCCAGGATGAAACAGTTCCCGAGTACAGAATGACTTTATTGGAACTTTTCCATCCATATCCTTGTGATGTATTTCGTCGACGCATTCGTGATCACATTTTTTGAAATCTTCACACAAATATGGATCTAATTAAGTTCAATTATAATATATTAATTGAGAAATTAGTATTTAATTTGTAAAAATCCATGCTTAGTTACCACGGAATTTAGTTCTCTCCCAGAAAACGCGATGAGAAATAAAATCTTTCTTGCGATTCGGGTAAGGACTTATATTTGCTGAAATTCACTTGTATTAGAATATCGATATTGATAAAACAAAAGGAAATCCTAAATCAACTAACCGTCTATGTGCTCTGATATCTCTTCTTTTTTTCCACCAGTGAGATTTTTGCAAACAGCTGGATGTTTGCAAAAATCTATATGACGATGACGACCTTTATTTTCGCAAACCTAAAAGTTTTGCATTAATATAGTTTTTATATTGAAAATTCTCAAATATACATACTTTATGACAACACACAAAATCGCCTCCATCACCGACAACCAATCGGTGTCCTAAAACAATTCTTAATTTTAAATTTTTGTTTCAATAAAAATAACAGGACAGGCAAAAGATTTACCTTCAAATTCGAATTCTTCGTCGTCGCACGTGAATGTTGTCAAGAACATATTTCCGTGAATAGTGTCTAGGAAATATCTAAATTAGTCGAGTACATGTATATGTAAATAATCAATCAAAATATCTTCGTATTTTTACCATGTTCACTATTATCTTTTCTTCCGTGATCATAAGGTAATGTGCACTAGATAAAAGCGAATTAGCAAAAAATAAATTCATACAATTTCTAAAACATCTCGATCGAAACTTACATAGTAATCGCAATGTGGACACTTGACATCGCAAAAGTGAAAATTTCTCTTTTTATTCTCTTCGATAATATGTTTGCCCAAATCATTTGGACAGGTTATATTACATTTGTGCATTTCCCCATGTGCATGCTTCCCTTCATGTTTGAATTTATATGGAGGTATCATGATACAACAACGAAATCTTTGGGAATTTTGAAAATGCTAAAGTATTTTGAAGTGATATTTAGTATATCATTGTTATAAGTAAATGAACTAAATAAAAAAGGAAGCCAATCTTACTTTAGTATACTTAAAGCTGCCATACTTATTCACATATTCTGCTTCTTCCTTTACTATTTCAGTTGGCTCAACAACAGTTTTACAAATTCCTGGTCCTTCGCATTGGTTAGGGCACTGATGCTCTTCGCTAAAAGTTTTATTATAATTAGATATTTTTATAAAAAAAGAATATTGAATGCAAATTACAGACCCGCAAAAATGATCCACATTTTCCTTTGCATGAAAATGGTCTCGACTTTCGCATCTTCGACGACATTTGGCTATCGGACATTCGATTGGACAAACTTCATTCTCACATTTGTGCACTTCATGAGATTCTTCACAAGGAATCTATTCAAAAATATCATATAGACTCGATTATTCAGAAAAAGAGACAACTTACTATGACTTACTATGCAAGTATTACGACATTCATAATTTCCTTTTTGAGTATCAGCTCTTAATGAACATAAAGCGCCGCAGTAGTGACGAGTCGCTTCGCACAAATGAACTTCATTTCCTGTCATAGTTTCATGGTCAATATCTTTAGTGCACTTTGACTGACAATTTCTCTTTCCACTATAGACACAAGATGCTCCGCATGAATGTTTCGCTGAACAGGTGTGATATCCTTCATGGCCAGCAAATTTTGCACATTTTGGTATAGTTTCGTCAAGGTGAATTTCTTGAAATCGACATGCTGAATGGCATCCATGATCAGTCAAGCAATCGTGAATCGCATCGTTTTCATTATCATTATGTTGACTTGCTTTAAGACACGCGAGCCCACAATTATCACACCTTAGACGACAGAAATTCCAAAATAACTTGAGACGAGTAATTTCTTGTTCTAGCACATATTTGGCGATGATAATTTCATTGTGATCATCCGGAAATCGAGAAGTATTCTGGGAAAACCACTGTTGTACGCGTTTAATGCGTCGGTCGATGATAAACTTATAAAATGTCTCTAAACGGTAAAACCATTGAGAATCGGATGATTGGTCACGAGCTTGAATGTTTTCTTCAAAGAAATTTCTCAATTCTGTAGAAAATTGGATAGTTAATTCAAATTTCTTCTCATCTTAATAAAATTTTAAGCAGAATACATGTACATACCAAGTGAAAGATCGACAAGATTAATATTATCTTTTAACAAAATAAGACCAGCATCAGGCATTAATTTAACGTCAACCTCATGATTAACGTTGTCAAAAATATCTGATAAGAGTAGTTCAGGATCAAGTATCGATTTCCCATCATCTCGATACTAATAAAATAATTTATTTAGAGTCAGCTATTCATTAAAACAACAAACCTTTTTAATTTACCATTAAATGTTGTATATCATTAGCTGGTTGTGTTGTATTTTCTGATGACAAAAATGAGTCGTCGTCTTTTTGCTCAAAGCCCTGAGATATCGCATCTTTCATATATTTTTTCAATTCCAATGTACGGATTGTAATCAATGTTCCTTGAACACTTTCCCAATCACAAACTCTATAGCAATGATTAAATTAACATCAGTTATTTAAGAAATATCAGCATTGAAAAACAAAAATATGATAAGTTACTTTAGTTTCGTCATTAAGACCTGATAGAGACCAAACCCAAAATATTATTTAAGTCTTGAATTACACGGAAAAACTCTACATGCATGCTTGCCATACCTTTATTTTCTCTACAAATATTTTCGCATTTTTATATTTAGAACCTTGCTCGTCTATCTTCATTTTTAATTGTTTGAAGGTAGTATAAAAGGATAATTTGTTGAAAACTGGCCAAGGAGAAATGGTCATCTCGTTACGATAAAGTTTCGTAATGAAGTTATCTTGCTCCTCCTGCATTTTAATTATTGAGTGAATGCTCACAATTTCTATAACAATTTAGGTTATTTGAAAACTTACTTTATCAACTATTTTCGAAAATTTGGAATAAAATTCTGAAACAATATCATTGCGATCAGATTCGGCAACATCTTTGATTATAATACAAAATCTTGCCTTTATAAAAACACCAACAATATTAATAATAACGATAAATTAATTCATATAGTAAAAAATGTACTATTTGCAACCTGAAATATGTCTGGATCATCTTTGAAATAATTGGTGCGATCTTGAAATCGTTGAAACATTGAAGATATATCACGACTCACGGCAAACTGACTTTTGAATAAGACGAGATTGGAGAGTGCTGCATTGAACAACTGCAGAAAAGTTTCTTCCTGTGGTGTTCTCTCAATGCTAGCAAGACCTATGATATTTAAAGTTTATATTAATATATTCGATAATTACTTATAAACCTAAGAACTGACCTTCAAAATCAAGCGCAACATAAAGAGTTTCATTGGTTTTTACTATTATAAAATAATAAAATTAAATTTATTTCAAATATGAAACACATAGGTAGTGCTAATAATAAAATTTTCACCAAGAGACATCCAAACTCCTTCGGTGCAACGCTTTGCAGAGCCATCAAAAGTCGAACCGAGCAAATGATTTAATAAATAACTCTTTCCTATAACAACGTCAATATGAAAATATAAGTTCATTAGATATACATATATGAGTATTACATTATGTATCTGTATCTTACCACATGATTGTTCACCCATTGAAGAAATAACTTTGACCTCCAAATGTGCATAAGTCTCAAAAATCGCCTCATACCATCCAAAAGAGATAGCTTTACATACACTTCCGATATACCCAAAGCCTTCATCTAAATTTGGATTTTCTATCTCAGAAGAAGACAGACCATCCTGAAGTGGAATAAATTCACCATCACGGGCTACAGCAATTTGTAATGGAATCAGGCAAAAGAAATCGACCATCCATCTATATTCAATTACATAATGAAAATATTTAGCATTCAATGGATTATTTTGGATTATATCAGAAATACTCACTCGCCAAATTGATGAATGGTGAAATTATCCTTAATGTCTTGAAACGTTGTAAATCCGGTACTAAAGTATTCCAAATGACCGAGTGGTTTCTCTGTTACTTTTTCAAATTTTGAAAACATTTTTTCAATATATTTTTGAACTTTGACCGTGTATTTTTTTATTTCTAAGTTTTTGGTCGAATTATCTACTACGACTGTAAGTGACAAGGGATTGTCTACGCGACCGATTGGATTTGTCACCGCGTATTTTGTAAATACCATTGAGTAAACATCAAAAAGTCCATTGATCGTTTTTCGTGTCTCAATGCTAAATTCTTTCCAAACTCCATATTCGATGTTATCAAATTGACTAAAAATTCTTAGCACTGTGTCGGTTATAATTTCGCTTATTTCCTTTTTTTCATCTCCAATCACTATTAAATCCCCTACATGGCTACGAGTAAAGTGTGTCTCCTTTCCTACAACGTCGTATGGTTGTTGACTTTCCACTATAACTTTGCCAAGGGCTTTTTGTTGTGGCTGTTTTTCGAAACGATATTGTGCTTTTCTATGGGTGATTTTTACTATGGATGAATTAAAAGTGCCTTTTTCTTGATCAATTGTAGCCAAATGCATTTGACGATTTTTAAACATGGAAAATTGAAACATCTCAGGAGATTTGATAAAAGAAATATCAACAATTTTACTGGCGCGTTCGCTAAATTTTTCACAAAAATACACGTAACCTCGAACTAGTTTCTTTACTGCAGTAAAATGTACAGAGTAAATATATAATCACGTGTCTTAAAGTGTTTCGATTAAAATGCTTTACCTTGCGTCTCGTTCTTGCTTTCGAGATTTTTATCTGGTTTACTTGTAATGACAATCTCCTCTTCTATTTTTTCAACAAATGCTACGATACATGTGCCATCCGGCGTACTACAAACATTGATAGTATCAGGGGGGATTTGTGCGATTCCTGGACGAAAGCTATCGTTCACTAAGTTATAAATACGGGCACGACCGTCTCTTTCAACGAAGCATATGTCTTCGGTGCTTTTTATGAAGAAGAAATGCGCGATATCTGGCACATCGTTATACCATTGATAGAGTTTAATATTGCGATAATGAAGATATAACTTGGTTTGATCTTGCTCAAATTTATATGTATTTAACTGAAAGATAGTGATTTTAATTAATACTAATGAAATCGATAATATCAACGTTATAAATTATTCTTACCACGCCTTCTTCATTATTATAAATTCCTATCAATCCTTTCAGTTCGTTAACAGAAATCATGAAATGTTCGCCTGAATTGATTTTTTTAACTGCCTTTTGGCTTGATATTGCTTTTGCTAAACAATTAATAACCTCAAAATATATTTCTAGCTTTTTAGCGTTTTTGTTCCATAGAAATACTATAAATTTTTTTCCCACTTGTGCGATATGCCTATAATTTGTTAATTATTAAACGACTAGAAGTTGTGGTTCATAAAAACGAGTATATAATGCGAGTATTAACCTGAATTCAAAGACCTCTGGATCAATTTCAAAAAAATTTCCGTTACTTCTTCCGCAAAGAATCGGTTGAGGTATGTAAAACTCATTTTCTTCGAGCTCCAACGTATCTTGCTCGCTCAGTTGAGTTTGTAAAAGCGTAATTCGTAATCGTGCTGGGCGAGTTGTTTCAATTTTATACAACATTTTATAGGATGCACACCGATAATTTTCTTGAAAATAAAATAGAATAAACCATAAGTATTTATATAAATCGAATTCAATTCAAACCTAAGCTACCTTTTTTCTTTTCCAAATCTAAAACAACAAAAGGTTCACCATCTGGATATTTCAACTCAGTTTTGACGCAAATTCTTTCCACATTTTCAAGTTCGATATCACGCTCCTTCAGACCGAATTCGTGTTCGATGGGTGCAATATAAGCTGAAATATTGTTATGGCTCAAAATTTTTTGCGAAATCCGTTTTACTTCGTGAGGGAATATATTCATTCTCCAATTCTCATATTTTTCGAAGAATTTTTTTAATATAAATATATCAACGTTATCCTTAATAAGTTGTCTGATAAAGATTTCATCGGAAGTATTTTTTTCTTCTTCATTAAGTGTTTGCATTATTTCGTTAGCACTATATGTTTTTGTTAGAAAATTAATGAACTTTTGGAATCCTCCTTCTTTCGCGGGTTGAATTATTTTTTTTACAAGCGAATTAAGATCTTTAGTTTTATCGAAAAAGATATCTGAGATTGTGAGCTCTTGGTTGTAAGAGTTCCATACTCTTGCAAAAATATATCGCTTTTTGATCTCTTGCCATGACAAATCGTTGATACGTTTGACAGCTGCTTGAATTTCACTGTATATATGTGAGTATTCATTTTGTAATTCTCTAAAAGCTATATAGAAATGAAATTAGTTGGATTTAGATCTATATCGATATATACAAAGTAAATTAAAACTTACTCGCTTCATCAACTAGCCGCATTGTCTGGTTCGGATTTTTAATCTCTTCTGAATTAGAATCTAAACTCGGATTTTTAATTAGAATCAAGACCAACGCGCATGAATTGGTGTGGGAATTTAATTAATAACAAATATCTTACCGTTACTATTTTTGTCGGTTTGGAAACCAGCTTTTGCTTGGCTCGAATCTGGGTTTTGATCTTTTGCTAAATTTTGAGACTTCAGTATAAAATTTCTTATAAACACTTTATAAGCACTAAAGTTTACCTGAATTTGCATCTGTTAGGATTTCTTCAAACCGGCTATAATTAAAAAAGAATAGTTTATTGAATACTTACAAATAATATACCATTTAAAAATCATTAAAAAATTACCTATACGACTTGCTCAAAAGCTGCAAAGCTATTTTCTCTATAACTTCAGCCTTCTTCTTGATTGATTTCTTTACTATGACTATTTTTTCATCTTTTTCTATTTTTAATGCTTCCATAGCATCATTATATGGCGCAAAGAGCTCGGGCATTTTTAAGCAATCTTTAACAATAATCTCTAAATCTTTCATTTTCAATTTGCGACTTAAGTGAAGTGCACATTTTTGAGATTCAAATTTCATCTTAAAATATTCTCGAAGCTTTTCAATGGAATCAAATCTCTTATCTCTTTCTTTAGTCTCTTTTTCCACGGGGAGGATTTCACGAGTAAGTAATGTTTGATTTGAAATTGATTCAATGATCAAAGGATGCAAAGGAATGCCTCCGCTAGCCAAATTATTGTCTCGTGTGCTGAGTTTTTGAATATGAACCTGTGATAGAAAAATTAATTTATAAACATATATTTCAGCAATTTCATTTAAATTCAATCACGAACCTTAAATCCAGGATGAAGTTCAAAATTTTCTTTTTGCTCCTGACTTTTTGTCACCTGATAGTCATAGAATCTGCTAATTTCATTGTAATTGCCTTCGTTCCAGTCAATATTATCCAAATCCGTTTCACTCATTATGCATATTTGATGTTCGGTGAGTTTTGTAAGGTATCTGCATATACATACATATATTTTACAGTCATGAATTGTTATATTTAATCCCTTAAATTGGATCGAACTATTTATTACCTATGCATATTGGTAAGATTTTTTTTACGATTCGAGGAAGCAAAATCTTCATAACAACCATCGTCACTCCAATGCATTATCAAGAATCGGTTTCAAAAGTGTTCGTATTGACTTCAACCGAAGGTAATTTAAGAAGATATATACCAGGTCTCAAAGTCATATTTGTCGACGATATCAACAATTCGTAACTATGATATATAGATGTATTTCAATTTATATGCGATTTATGATTTTTATTATTTAAAGTAAACTTACTTAGTTTGATCAATAATATTCTTATTTAACAAGAATTTAGCGATCATTTCATTACGACCATAGCATCCGATGAGGTGAACACGTTTAGAATTCAATTTTTTATAGTCTATTTTGGAAATTGATTTGAAACTATTTGGCACCAGTTCATTGCAAAGACGTTTCACGTGTTGATCCGAAATTATAATTTTATCCACTATAAACATTTATCCGATTTTGTTAACGTTAAAGAAAAAGCTTGATCTTGAAGCACAAAACTTTTACATACCAAGACCATTCGATCCTTCATCCATGCATAAATCTAATAAGCGATAAAGTCCGGGAATATCGTCACAGAGATCTGGCGCTTGCTTAGATTTGCTATTTTGGTGGTGATCGGTAGAATTTTCGGCTGTATCCTCATCTGTTGTTTGAATAGCATTAAATAAATGTTCGTAACAGTCAAATTTATATGTACATATATATCAAACCTAACCTTCCATTGTGGTATCTTTTTTATCCGCAACTGCCTTAATGTAAATTTTTTTGTTGCCATCAGACAATATACATGTAGTTTCGCTATCTTTCTTAGATTTGCTATTTTTTTCGGGTTCAGGGTCAATTTCTATCGCTATATTTTCTAGGTTTAATTCACAGTTTTGGTGACCGGTAGAAATTTCGACTGTATCATCATCTGTTGTTACAATACCATTAAATAAATGTGCATAGAGGTAAAGTGTATATCATATTCAACCTAACCTTGCATTATAGTGTCTTTTTCGTATACAACCTCTGTAATGTCAGCTTTTTTTGGACAGTTTGACATATTACCATCAAATTGACATGAATTTATATCATTTTGGTGGTCATTGCTTTTATTTTCTGATGATTGAAGAGAAGTGTCTATAAAATTTTTCAATGCATGTAATTTGCAATAAGCAAATATTTACCTGAATTTTCGTCGGACATGTTTGTTATTTTGAATTCGGGATAATAGAGCCGGAAGAAAATTCTGTTGTATATATATCTGCCGCGATCCGCTGATTTGCCTCATTATTTCTCATGGTCGCTTGGGCGAATGAGATTTTTTAATCACATAGTCATATATTGGCGACTAATTTCGATATAGCAGATTTACTAACGCTAATGATATAATAATTACTAATAATTTTGGATACTCTATTCAGCCGAAATTATATCACAAATTATTGCATAACACAAACATCATTTATTTCATTGATTAGCCATAATATATAAAATATTTTATGATATCATTCCTTTGCTATAGCGCATAGTGCATAACATCTAAACTCAATAAACTTCTTTGTTAAGAAGTGAATACAAAATTTAATCCGTGAATATGTTATAATTGACTTTTCGTGATCAAATTCACGGATTGAATTTTGTATTTACTACTTAACAAAGAAGTTTATTGAATTTATAAAATACAATCAGATGTTGCAACATATCAAATATTTATTTATAATTCTGCTAATGATTTACATTTATAATAAAAGTGGTATGGTGCATAAAATCTAAAGTCATCAAACGTTTGTATTTTATAAAATGTGTAAACTTCTTTACTAAGAGGTAAATACAAAATTTAATCCGTGAATATGCTCAGAAAAGGCCTATTCTATCATATTCACGGATTAAATTTTGTATTTACTTCTTAATAAAGATGTTTATACATTTTATAAAATACAAACGTTTGATGACTTTAGATTTTACGCACCATATTATAGTTATCTAATTCTATTTGTGATATATATTACTCTTCAAAACTCCAGAAAGAACATGGAAATACACTTCCTTACCGAAAGTATTGACTAATTAATTTAATAAATTGTTGTATTTTCTTTGACTGGCATGCTTTTCACTAATTTAATATAAGTATTTATAGAAATTGTAACTACGTACGTATTACGTCCTAAATTGACCGATTCATTTTTTTGGCGATCATTTTAATGAAAATTGATCGCAATATGAATCGGTCACGCAATATCTCAACATCTAGTGATTAAATTTGAGTAAAACTACCACCATTTGTTTTGCCTAAATTAGACAAATCGAATGGTGGTATTTTCACTCAAATTTAATCACTAGACGTCGAGATATTATGTCCTAAAGTGACTGATTTATTGTATTCGGGGCATGAAAGTTTATGAACATACAATATCCAATATATAAGCTCTACCAACATATAAAAAAAGTATTCTTTGTGCTCGGAAAAATTTGGTGCATTACACATGATTTACGGAAAGTTAGGGTTGGGGTCGGACGACTGTAAAATACTTACAGTCCCCTCGGAAAGTAATGGCGGTCTTTTTTAATGAAAGAGCTGTTTTTAAAGACTTACTACTCAAAAAATTCATTTCTGGGATACTTCTGAGTAGTGTGCTCTTAAAAAATCAACACATGATAAGTCCTCCTTCCATGTCAACACAGGCTCGAATGCCATTTGACATGTCAAAAAAATATAAGAACCATTACGAGTAATGTTAGTTTATAAAATAATGTATATAGTTTTAAATAGAATTCTTTAAGCTGAACGGTTTTTCTTAATGGACGAAGACTCGTTAACTTGCAATTGTGAGTCAAATCGATACTCGTTATGATCGACTCTGTGTCACAATCACTAAAATTTTGTCCAAATCGGGATATGTATTAGGACTTTCAAAGAATGGAGACACATTTGGGGATAGAGACTGATAGAAGTGTCGTGTATTTTTTTTTTACACCAATCTTTTTTAGAAGGAGGCCAATTCTATGGTGAAATTTTTCGGGCCATTACTTCCGGGGGACTGTATATAATATATATAGAATTAAATAAAAAAACAATAAAATATAAATATAATAATTAATTATTGCAATAGCTGAAGTTGAAATTAAATAAAACTGACATTCATGTAATTATCAATATATATAATTATTAATACATGTGATTAATAATGCAACTATTTGCTATACTATAGTATATGATATTTAAAGACTGAATAAAATTGGTAATTTTAATTTTTAAAAAATAATAAAACATCATATAACATTTAATATAAATTAATGACTTTTAAATAATATTAGTTTATTTCTGACTTATATAAATTCAAAATTATCTTTTTTAATATAATTATTGGTAAAATATAAAAATAATATAATATTGTAATTGATTAATAATATAATCTCACAATTTAATTAATTAATTACAAAATCATATTTTATTCAATAATTTGATATATATATTAACAATCATATTATAGCAATAAAAAGTTTTATTAAATTCTAAGAATAATGCTCCAACCAGTTCAGGTCAATCCGAAACCTGACCTGGACCTAACCCAAAAATCCTGGTTCGGATCACGATTTTTCAATCCAAAAAAACTGGGTCGGGTTTGGGTCCGGATCAGGTTGTACTTGGATCCAAACTGATATAACCTGACCAGTTCGGGTCAACCTGAAAATTTTGATTGGATGAAATTTTATGCAGGGAATTTTGGTTAAGAGATCACAGATTGATATTGAATTTGCATGAATTCTTATTGTTAAAGTTTTCTAGTACCATTGAAGGTGTAATCGACGACTGCGTAATGAAAGAAAGAAGTTGGTAATACGACTGCATAGGAAAAGAAAGAAGTTAGTAATATGATCGCATAACAAAGATAACACAATCACATAACAAAAGAAAGAAGTTGATAATACAATCGCATAACAAAAGAAAGAAGTTGATAATATAATTATATAATGAAAAAAAGAAGTTGGTAACACAATCATATAACGATCACATAACAAAGGAAAGAAGTTGACAATACGATCGCATAACAAAAGAAAGATGTTGGTAACATGATCACGTAACAAAGGAAAGAAGTTAGTAATATAACTGCGTAACAAAAGAAAGAAGTTAGTAACATGATCACGTAACAAAAGAAAGAGGTTGATAATATGATCATGTAACGAAAGAAATGCGTCATTTTATTATTTTAACTATTCTATAATATCAGTTGCTTGGAGTAAGCACGGACAACGCATCAAACAATAATACTATGTTTTTTCATTTTACCGAAAAATGTGCTGAAGATGGAGTGGAATTTGATCAACCAAATCAGCAAGTCTGGTGTCTCAGTCATATTATTAACTTGGTCACTCAGAATACTTTGAAAAATCTTAAGGCTGAAGGACCGAACAACGAAAATGACCTGCTAGTAGATGATTAGAATGTCACTTCTCTAGGAGTAATTGGAAAAGTGAGAGGATGTTTTTAAGATTTTAGTAGCATTTTTATTTTAATAAGTCTGAAAATCATAGTTGCGGAAACTTATTATGAAGATTCACGCTTCTTCACAATGTTGTGAACGATTTGCTCGCCAGTGTAATGTTCTTAAAGTAAAGGTGCTTGAATTAATTCCAGATATCAGAACTCGCTGGAATTCAACTTTTATTATAATGCAAAGAGCTCTTCAACTTCGTGAGGTAAGATCTGAAAGATTATTTTTTTAGGATTGTTAATTTGGATTTAAACCCTGAGCAATAACAAAATGGATTCTATATATTGTTACAATTATTTTCAATAATTCCGTAATTAACGAATCTTTTAAAAAAAATAATAGAAAATATGAAAATCTTCAAAAATAGTAATAAAAACAACAAATCGATAAAAAATAGTATACACATATCAATCATTTAATAATCGTATAATAATATTTCTCTACCTTTTTTTACCTTTATTTTCTA